TGCCTTTGTGGATATGGTCACGAGAAGAGCCTTTCCCTTCTTTTTAAACAATTACGGTAAATAACGCAGTTCTCAAGTAGCGCAGTGGTAAGAGGTGCTCTGTTATGCACCAGGCTAACCAGGCGTACGAATTCTCCGGAGTCTGCAAATTGGTGCCAGAGCTGTCCGTCGAGGATAGCAGCACTGACTCGATGCATAAGTTGCCCACCGCGAGTCAGTCATTGTGTAGGTCAGATATGCTTTCATTCACTTCAACGGTACTTAGTGAACTCTAATGCGCGGTGCATCCTTTAGGGATTGATCAACGCCCAGAGCTTTATGCTTTTATCTTTTTATTTAACATAGTTTATCTATTTGATGAAACCAAACCACGATTTTTGTTCTTCAGATGGATGTATGCATGGCGAATATGTGATTACACGCGTGACTTAGTCGACTGGAACACATTCGCGCAAGCCGTGTTGCTAAATGCTGACGCCGAACTCGGTCCGTCACTCTTAGCTGCTTATAACGTTTCTGTGATATTAATTTACACAGTTTTTTTTTCATTTTGTGCTACATTAGTACTCTTAAGGCAATATGTGTCAAGCATGATGTCTCAGAAACATCGGGACCACCTGCCAAAAAATTCCTTACCCTTTCCAAACCTAAATTGTCCGATACTAGACGATTTTCATTTATTTCATTCGTAAAAATTTATTTTGTAGATGACTAATCGCTCCGACTACGACAAACAATTGGTGGGTGAAAATTTAATACATTCTCGAGCGCTATAGATAACGTCTAATTTGTTACCGAATGTCGACTATATGTGTATTGTATTCAATGCTCACTGTTCCTTGCGTACTACGTCCCCAGCACTTAAAAAGCATGAAATCGCCACGAGACTGATTCATTTGTACTTACCATCAAAGTAGCATCTTTATCTGGTAATACTTTCGCCAACGGAGACATTTTTATAGCCTATTCATAGCCAATGCTCTTCGTCATAGGACGAATAAACACCTCCGAAAAATAGGTTTTTTAAACATATTAAATCTGTGTAAAACTTAGCTTTCATAGACCATGCTTTGTATAGCATCTATAGTGAGGAGGAAGCTGTCGATACAATGCTCAAAATGTAACAAGAAGAAATTTACACATCAAAAATAGGTCGCTGAGAATGAAAGCACATTGGAATCATTACCTAACACCGTTAGTTCTGTCCCTATGTATGCAGTGAATAAAAACGTGGACTCTTCACCATTTCATTTCGTTTAGAATTTTTTTGCTTTGGTCATAAATTTAGTGGGAAACAAATGTTAATGATTCAATGAAGCTGTATTCCAGAAATGAAATTTGTCAACACCACGGTGTTAAGGTCATAACCTGTGATTTGGCGGAAGGATGTTGAACTTGTAAAAAAGTCTGAGCAAAGTGAAAAAAATTTAATGGCGAGATACGGGGGGTCTTTCTACATAGATGGCAGAATGATCGCTGTATAAATAATAGATGACATTTGTTGACAGTTATTGAGGCGCTGGTAGATAAGTCACTGTTATCAATTTATTGGCATTGATTGCTTTTATTCGATTTCAGCATTCCAAAGAGTATTCCAAATAATGAGAACAGACGGCAGATTGAGAGAAAAACTCGTTTTCAAACCACTAAAGGCGTTCTGTTGAGACTTATAATTATAAGCTAAGCATTAAGCTTAAGGAGATCACGAAATTTCTTGCTTTTAACACAACTGATGGAACGTTGACGACAATGATTAAGAGAAATCATTTCGATAGGAATAATCTGATTGGTAGATGTGAATTGCTGGCAGTGGAAGGTTTGCTGTGAATTCAGGCTGGTGAGTCATAAACTAAAATGTACACCGTTAATGGTCAACAAAGGACGGCAAATGAATTTTAGAAAATTTTTTTGGAGTGATTTACATCGCCGTTCTTCCAAAACACTTATTTATTATAAGAACAAATGCGACGGGAAATATCCCCATTTTAGATCAGAGAACTCTGTAAAGCTGGCACAGTAGATTTGAAGAAGATCGGGTTATGGAACGGTGAACCACGAGAACGATAAGGCGACAGCTTCCAATCGCATATAGCTTAGCAATAAAAATAACTGCTGAAAAAGTCAAGCAAACAATGGTGTAGGTAACTATGAAAGCTCAGATAGTGGTGTAGTCGATATTAAAAGAAATACCTAAGAATTTTATGCAGTGTTCAACAGAACATCGCATGGACATATACAAATAGGTAAGCACGCACTCCACGGCTCTCTTCTGGGTCAGTAAAGATGTTAGTTATTCCGAAATCAGTCATTTGAACGTATTTAAATCTTCACGGGCTTTCTCATCTAGACGAACTATTCTACTCAAGCCGTTTCAATTTTTTTAAGTCTTAGATTCTTCTATCTTTTTTGCTAATAATTAATGATAGAGATTATAGCGAGTGCACACGAAGAAATGAATGCAAATACTTTGCCGCGGATTCTTAAAGGCACTTTTGCCCCGTGCTGAGCGCTAATAATGTTACGTTCTAAATGAACATGAACAGGCTGTTTATACAAACAAGTTAGATCATGTTCTAAATGATTCAAAACGTTATTGATTCTAGTGATTAGGGGAAAATGCAATGAGGCGATACAGGGAAGGGAAAAGGTCGGCCTATTGATAACAGGCGTATATTGCTATATAAAGCAAGCCGTTTACATGGGATGCACATCTTTTTGAGTCTCCAGTTCTTATAGGCTTAAGTAAATATGAAACAAAACGGCAGAATGCATGAGGCTAGAAAACATTTGACTAAGACCTGTGCGCAAGTGAGAACTTATCTTGTATTCCTTTAGCAGAATTCAATTTAGTAACACTATCAGCGGAAATTTCTTACAGACTTGAGAATCGTAGTGTTTACTATGTATTTATCCAAATGATTGAGATGTTTTGTAGTGAAGAGAAGGACAGTGCATTGAAAGTTCGATTTCTACGCATGAGAGAGATTTTACTTTGTATTGTATTACCTGCTCTGTATGTGTCACCGTGTGTTCAGGTGACTAGTAGATATCTTTTGCTTATATGTGTATATACCACTTATTCAATGTCTTTAATTTTAGGAAAGTAGTAAAGTACTAGGCAAATTAATCTAAGGTTATGTAACGACTTTATAGCGGAGTGTTAATGGTGCTATACTACCTGCCCGTTTTGCATAACCTGTTTTAGTTATTAACTAACTTTCTATTAGTTGCTGAGATGATCCATTAATCATTCAAGAGATTTCTACAACTACATGTCACGTTTTTTCCGCAATCTTCGTTTATATTGTTTAGAGTATTTATGGAGACTTTGAATATCATCACATTGGCACTGTTGTCTTCTAAACCCCCACTGCATACCTTCGTGTTCACCAAACTTCTCACTACTCTGCAGTCAGCAAAATGTTGCTAATCCTACGGCTGCGACAAGAACAAGAATTAAATACATCGATAAACACTTGCAGACCTTGTATATTGTATAGGCAGCATATGCATTCAACCATCTCTGTGAAGTCTAATAAAAGGATAAAGCTTTCGGCATTGATCAATCCCAGAGGGATGCTCAATGAATTCGACTTCACTAAGTATCGTCTGGAAGTGATTGAATGCCTATCTGGCCTTTACAGTGGCTCGCGGTGGCCTACTGACGTATCGAGTCAGCGCTGCTTTCCTCCAAGATAAGTCTAGTACCAGTTTGCCGACCCCTGAGGGATGAATGACTTGGTGGGCCAGGAGCGCAAGGAACGATCCCACGCGTGTGTTGCCGGGCGTCCCCAACCACTGCGCCACACGCGCCCATAAAGCTTAATAGAATCGAAATAATATACAGAAGAAAGAAAATATTTATCTATGCCGAACGTTTTTAACGATTATTTAGTTAATATTATTAGGAATTACAGCATTAAATGAGCTTGATATGTTAATATATTCTCGAATGGAGCGGGTGTGCCGTAGTGGTTAAAGGTGCCCTGCAATACACGCAGCCGTTAGTTCGATTATGTGCCTTGGGTTCATCAAGCCTTCCATCGCTTCGGGGTCGGAAAGTTGGTATCAGACTTATCTCTGGAGATATTAACGTTCAACTGATACATCGGTGGGCAACGGAATTCATTGTAAAGGCCAGACGTGTATTCAGTCGCCTCTAACAATGCTTGGTAAAGTCGAAAGTATGAGCATCTCTCTGTGATTGATCGACGTTGAAAGCTTTACCCTTTTCTTGGTATTCCAAAATGGTTATACTTTTACATATATAAATAGTTCACGTGATCGGAGTAAAGTTAAGAAATAAAGTATGACAACAATTGTTGTATCAGCTTGGTATTGTACTTAAATACTCACTTGGATATTTCGATGACCCGTCATCACTGGTTGTTTGTATGCCAGCATAGTTTTCATCAACCGTTGTGGTTTTCTGGAGTTTGGAGGTCGGTCTAGCCAAAATCTGCCCGAAGTTGTCACCACCACAGAGAGTCGCCGCCCTTGTGGGTTAAAGGAAGATTTGCCACCATACGACTAGTTTAATACCAGGACGGTGGTGGATCGTCGTATTGGTTTACTCTTAGCTGGGCTTACTAATGGAAGCGTCGGATTTCTTCCCATTTACGGAGACACTGCTAAGGGAATGAATCCACCCGCTGTACATCACAGCCCGACACCCAAGAGCACTTTCCACCCACGATCGGGCGAAAAAGCTCTGAGAAGGATGTTCTTAAATAGTTTATGGAATATGCTTTGTAGAAAAATCAGTCGGCTTAATTCACTTATACGAAAATATCCAAGACTTCAGAAACCGCACTATGGCTGAGAAAAAACTTGAATTCTTTGCTGTTACGCCTAGCGACTATAGCGATGAAGAATGAATGTCTAGTTTACGTCTGTGACCCTTACGACACTGACGTTTACCCAGATAGAGCACACTTCTTGGTTAAATGTGCAAGGCCATTTCATTGGCCTAATGAAAAACCTTTTGAATCGTTGATTTAATGATGAATTGCATTTCATTGTTTTTTCCAGCTCTTCGTATTTTCCGTCACATTGGAGATGTATCGATGGGTTTGGCTTTGGAATCGATTGTTCCGATTGAAGAGAAGACATTACTAGCTGCTCATGTGGCGATGTTGCTTGGTAGATATGACCAAGCAGAACAACTTTTTTTGAAGACCTCTTTCCCACTTGAGGCGTTGGCGGTTAGTGCATTGGTTTTCGGAAGCTACATCAGTTTTTCACTCATACTTCAACTCATAGGCTATGCTTACTACGTCGCTCTTTTATTTTTAAAGGATTTGTTACTATCTAAGATGAGAACTTGGTTTTACTATGTATGAACCGAACAGCCGACATGCCCTAGTGTTTTTACAGTGTTTCCAAGTATTGAAAAGGATTTCCCTGTTAGTTTCTTTCGTTATGCCTTACTGTCTTTTATCTCCGTGTTTTTTCCTACTTTACTTATTCTTACACTTACTTGAAAAACGCCACATTTATTGCTAACAACTTAATAACACAGCATTGAGTGCAGAAAGCACAATGCTTGAAAGGGCTGTGCAGCACGCGATTCGCTGTTGCCCCCTACGATTACGGCCAACCAAACATTTACAATTTTTACTTATTATTTACTGCCTACTCTTTTTAACGGCAGGTTATATTGCGAAATATGACTTCAATGATGCTGAGGTATTTTGCAAAACTCCGGACCGCAGGCGTCTGCGGTGGAGAACGAACGCGCTATTACCCTCCGGGGGCTACTGTGTTTACCACCGCTCCATGCGGGTCCTTCGTTTCGCCTGTCTCTCAATTAGTTCTATCGATCACTCGCCATCAGCAATCATCCGTCAACGAGATTGATCTGGCGAGCCCAAATCGGCACTGAGCCCAGTTAAGCTAAGGCTATAGTTATGATCACAATCTTAACCTTTTTATTTACTGCTTATTCTTAATGGCAGAGTTTGCTTCGAAATAAAACTTCTATAATATAACTGGGTTAAGAGCAATCCAATACCAGGATCCACCACCGTCCTGGTGTCAAACTAGTCACATGCTGCTAAATATCACTCTGATTGACAAGAGCCGAATTTGTTGTTAACCGTCTCGTTGCGGTAGTACATAGATAGAAAATAACCTCAGCAGTGTAGTTTTCTAAAGTTGCATTTTTTCTCTTTGTTACTGATTTAGTCGTTTCCAGATGCGTCGCGACCTTCTGGATTGGCCAAAAGCATTAGCCCTTGCTGAACAATTTTCACCTAAAGAGATTCCGTTTATCTCTCGAGAATATGCGCAGCAGTTGGAGTTCATGTATATTTAAAATCCTTTGCCATTTTAAAATCTACAGTCATGTTAGCACTTTCTTCAGGGGTGACTATCCAAGTGCTTTAGCTCACTACGAGAATGGCATTATTGAAAATCCTGATGAGGAGACGGAGCAGGTTGTTTTCTGCCTTCTTTCTGTTGCTATGTACTCATTGATGTACACACCAGTTGAATACTCCAACAGTTTTGTTTATAGTCATAGTTCAAAAAGTGAAAACGCTTTAAAAAAGAAATTTTTTAAGCTCTTTTTACGTTTTGCTTCCTGTTTTTTTTGCGTTGACTTGATGAACTCGCTTGTATCTTTAGTTGAGATGTCGACTGTATGAAAATAGTACATGATTGTAGAACATAAGCAAATGGATTCCATTCTGACTCAACAAAAAAATTCCAGATTCTCGAACATAATGAGATATGTCAGTCAGGTTTAGCCAGAATGAGTGTACGAACTGGAGATGTTAGAAAGTGAGTTATAGAAAGAATTTCTATTCCTGTCAGCAATTTCTAGCTTAAGATCGATGTGAAATTCTCTTGGGTATCTTTTTCTTAGATTCCATTCGAAATTATACAAGCAGTTAAGCAGAATTGTAATGAAATGTCGCTAGGATGTCAATATGTTATATATTCCAGTAACCTTACATGAGGTGGAAATGAGTTCGTCGATGGTCTTTTATATATATATATATATATATATATAT